AACACTTCACTCAATCCCCGCATGGTGTGGAACACTTCAAATACATGATGTTATTTAATTCTTCTGAGTACCCTGCGAGGACCCACTGTTATTATGCCCATCTTACAGATAAGGAAATAGAGCCAAGCAACTCAGCTATGAAACTCCAAGCCAGAATGTAAACCTAGTTTCTGCATCTATCTGACCCCAAAACATATACTCTCAACTATTATACCCTAACTGCTTCTGGGAGCAGTGTAGAGGTGGGATAACAAATCACAAACCCAGGGGCCAGCAGGTGAGGTTAAGGCACTGGATTCCTACATGGCTGACCATGGTTCAAGTCCTATATCCAGTGACTGGAAAATCAGAGCAGGCATGAGTGTATGCCTATCCAAAACCCTGAGAGAATGGAGGACAGGAGATTTGGTGTGGCCATCCCCCCGGGGAGGTGATTTCTCACTTTCCCTCTCTCTTTCTCAGGCAAACACACACTACCGATAGAAAAAAAAAAAATCTAAAAATAATAATAATAAATTACAGCATAGTCTTTCTTTTTCTTTTTCTTTTTCTTTTTTTTTTTTGGAGAGGTTTTTGCTATAGGGCATGTGCACTTGCCAGAAAGACAGAGACAGAGAGAGAGAGAGCGAGAAATCACCCCCTCAGGGGAGATGGCCACGCCACAATCCCTTCTCCTCCATTCTCCCCTTGGGATCTTGGGCATGCACGCACACATGCTCAGCGTGAGTTTAAGCCACCGGGTCCAGGACTTGAACCGCAGTCGGCTACATAGGAATCCAGTGGCATAGCCACTACGCTAACTGCTGGTCCCACCATAGTCTTGCTTCAGAAAGAATAGGCCTTCACATTTCAGGAACTGGGAGTTCATCTGTTTTATTCTAGCTTTCAAACATTATCTGACTTCACCTTTTTTTCCCCTACTTTAAGTCACTACAGGGAAACCATTACACACAAAGTAAAATGGCTCCCAGGGCTTATCACATGTGGGCCACTTGGAATGCAAAGCCTGCTGGCTGATGAGCCAGCCCAGGGGTAGCCAACTGATTTTGGGGACCAGAGCTAAGTTATTGAGATCTATAGAGCCCCCTGTCAGGAACCGTGTACTGAGTCTCACCTATAGAGAAAGGGTCTCCTATAAAAACAAGTTAAAGCACCACAAATGTGGCTGATTTCATGAAACCCAACACTGGAGATCCCAGAGGGCTGAACATACCTTCTCTTTCATTTCATCAAACTCTACTTTTGGGAATCAACCAAGCTTACCACCCAAAAAAACAGTACCCCTGGTTTTATTCGTCTCAACTCCTAAAGAAAGATTGTGTGGTTTCCATTAACCTCAACATCTTGGACCAAGATTTAGAGAATATGCTTTTATTAATTCGTCTTTATTTCACTCCTTCCAAAATGGCTATATCTGGAAAAACTTTGCAATCTTACTGGAAACCAGAGTATTTTTAAGCCAGTGAAGGAAACCAACAGTCAACAACTGAAAGTGTAAGTTAAAAAGAGGAGCGGGGATTAAGATTTCAATAGGCCTGTGTCATTCAAAGGGTTTACAAGTGAGTTCTCTGTACCAAAAGTCAAAGATGATCTTAAGAAACAGTCAGGCCTGGTAAAAACGCCAACTCCACACCAGCTGCTTCCTGACCTCAGGGAAATTACGTCATTCTATCAAGTCTCGGTTACTGTGTGTAAACGGCAATATGGAAGCCTGCCTCCCGGGATGGTGGTAAGGGTTATAGAAAACGAAGTGTAGAGAGCAACTGGCAGGATCCTCCTCCCTGAAAAATACTGGTTCAAGATGCTGGGCTTGGCTCAAGTATGGCTGTTTTAAAATCCCACAGGTCCCTAAGGAGAACCTGCATTAAGAGTAAACTTTGAAAAGTCACGAAGACTTCCCGGACTGCTCTGGATCAGCCGCCTGCACTATCTCCCAGTCTTACACAAGGAACCTAAGCAGATGATTATCTACAGAGCAATCTGCACTTCCACACTGGGCGGAAGTCCAGCAAGCAAGCTCACCAAGGTGGCAGGGCTGAACTAAGACAGTGTGACCTTGCGGTGGGGAGCACCAGCTCGGGAGTCAGAGAAGCCTGGCTTTGAATCCCCGGCCACCTGGCCAGCTGTGCAGCTCAAAGCCGGTCTGTATACTCTGCACCTTCGTTTCCCCATCTGTCAGATGGTGATAAAATAATACTGGGTCGTTTGATAAGTCATGATGCATTTTTGCATAGAAAATCATGCCTTTCCCGACAAGCTACTAGTGCATACCTGATGGGGTTACTGTGAGAATTAAATGAGAATGCTATAGAAGAACATGCAAAAAAAAAAAAAAAAAAAAAAAAAGGCCTGGTACATAGTAAGTCGGAAGTTATGAGTGTTTATAGGGAAAAATGTGTCGTTCAGTTACCAAAATTTTCTGAGTACTTCAATACATGTGTTTATTTGTTCAACAAATATTGAGTACTTACCGTTCGCTGGCACACATATGTGCCTATACACAGCTACACGCATGCATCTCTACACACACAGGGCAGAGGAGAATTCTGTTCTACCCTAGACAGAGTGCGACTATAGAAGGAAACTGAAGTGCGACTCTTCTAGTTACCAGAGCCCACTCTGGGACTACCAAGCTCTGAACTTCCCTGAAACATCCCGTTGTACCTGTCCCAGACACACACTCACACAGTGGGCCCTGTGTAATCTAAAGCTGCCCTAACCCTTGTCAGTGGTGACGATGATGTGGTCACGCTGCTGGCCCCGCTGCTTCAGTGACACTCAAACCTCTACTGGTACCACTAGGGGATTTGAAAAGGCATCCATCATGCCTGATTTCAGGACCAAACATCAAAATCAGGAATGTTTTGAAAGGTTTTTAAGACATGAACTGGTTCCCGTGACTTGCTGCCAGGTTACCCAGAATGGGTTCAAAGGCCCGGCTTGAGGACGAGGTGAGCTCAGAACCCTGGTGAGCTGGGAAACCTGACACTGCCTCAGCAGTCTGTCAGAGGAGTCAGCACGTGCGACTTGGTGGCACCCTGGGCCTCAGGTGGCACCCACTCCTCCTGCAGGCCTCTGCTCCATTATTGAGCTTGGAAAGCAAATTCCCAAATCCCACTGCCCAAGCCACTCTCAGACCACCAGTCCTTATGGTCATTTCCTACCGAGCAAGGTAAATAAGAACACAGGGCCAGTTGGAGTGACTTCTGTCTGACTTCACTTCAGAATGTGTGACTTATTATAATCAGCAGCGGCTTTTCCCAGGAAAGGTCTGATCCCTTTTTGCCACCAAAATGGAATGTGGCACTTGCTACAACTGGACTGGGCAGGTATTTGTTTTTCTTTGAAGAGAACGACTTCAGAAAACATACTGATCCTCAGTGCTGACTGCCTCCCAAATCTCACGCCTAGCATGGCCAGGGCCTTGGGAATCTAAGAATGGTGGCATTCATGGAGCCTGCAGCCTTGCTGTCCATGGCGCAGCGGGCCGGCTCAGAGGAAAGGAGCCCTCCCACCCACTCTCCCGGCCCTTGCAGCCCCCGTACCTGTGGAGTGGCGGAGGTGACCAACACGCTAGCCATCAGACCATTCCTCTTATACATAGTCTCCGGGCCACAGGGAGCTTCAGGGCAGCCTCTGCCGGTGACATAACCTGTCTCGGAGGTCCTGCGAGGCAAAGGGGCTCATAAAAACCAGTCTCCAAACCAACGTAATCCCACCCTGGGAAAAAGCTGTGCCAGACTCCAGCAGATCACCATTAATGAAAGGTGACAGCTAGCTGGTGGCCTCCAGGCTAGATATGACTACAGATACAGTTTGTAGGGTGTGCACAGAGTTTAATTTATTTTCGATTAATTACCGACATTTAAAAATGGGGGTATTGCACACAGAATTCTGGACTTCTTCCTGGACTGGCAGGACTGGCGCCTTTCTCCTTCAGGAGGCCCCCAGCTGGGCCAAGCAGTGGCTGCCCCTGTGTCAGAGCCAGGCTGCTCAGTCCCACCTGGCCTGTGAAACCATGGTGGTACATGCCTGGCTCTTACAAGCCCTAGAGGCTGAGGCCTCTATTTTAAAACAAAAGAGGTTACAACCACAAACCGATTCTACCATGTCCACCTGGGCACGCTCCGGTGTCACCAGATCCTGGGTGACAGCTAACCCCCATGCAGTACTCTCCAAGCACCACGCTCCTGACACACATCATCTAAGCCCAGGCAGCTCTATGATGACACTCATAGTACGTGTGGGGAAACTGAGGCACAGGTATGTATTCATGGCGGTGCCTCTGTTCATGCTGTCCCACCATCCCGCCGTCATTCAAGACCCTGCTCAAACACCATGTCCCTGGTGATCATGCCTGGCTCAGCGAAAGCAGAACTGACTGCTCTCACCTCCTTGTGCACACACCTCCAGCAGACATTTGTCATATCATTGAGCACAGAGAGCTGTAGCCCCGACAGCTTCTTAGCAGGAGAGTGACCAGGAGGGAAGGGGAAGGGAAGGCAAAGACACCAGCTGGAAGCCAACTGCAACTGACCAGGCAAGAGATGAGGAGGATCCTCTGAGAGAGGGTGCAGCAGTGAAATCAGAGAGGAGGAGGCTGACCAAGGGCCGGGAAGACCTGAAAGTCCACAGACACTCATGTGGACTGAGGGAGAGAGACTCTGGACGACCAGCTGGTTTCTGAAATGAGGTGCCAAGACAGTGTGTCCTTCATCAAGGAAGGGACAGGGGTGGAGCCACAGATTCATGGGGAAAGATGACAAGTCTGGTTTGGGACATGCTGAACCTACAGTACCCTTGGGAACATCAACCCTAGAGACCAAAGTTCAGTGAGAAGGATGGTTCGGAGGTCACTGAGAAAGGAGGAGGTGTTGGCCCAATCTTGACTCTATCAGTAACCCCTCCCAGGCCCCTCGGTCACAAGGCCCCTTCACACAGCAGTGCACTGTCACAGAAACAGTGTAGTGATCCAAAGGGAATGTCAAAACCCCTAGGCCATCTGCTTACATGTCCCCAACATTGACAAGGGCTCTTCTCTCAGTCCTCACAGCCTTCTGGAAACTTCCCCTTCAATTGCCTCCTCCTCAGCTCAATCCTGTGAGCCTCCGACCTTCTCTATCTTCCCAAGACACTCAAAAGAATGAGTCTGCCCTATCCACAATTTTTGAGGGTCAACCGGAGACAGCTGAATGTGGCAATTGGATGAGAGCACTACCAATTTTCTTAGGTGTGACAAGGCCTTCTCCTTAGCAATGCATGTGGCAGAATTTAGAGGTAATGTGAGTTTGCAACTAACTGCCAAATGGGTCCGCATATGCATGACAGGAGAGAAAACAAATACGACCACACGTTAGCAACTGTAGAATCTAGACAAAAGGGTACTAAGAGTTTATTGCGCTATCTCAGCTCTCCTGAATGAAAATCTTATTTCGTGATTTAAAATAAAAAAGGAGAACTGGTTGGATAAGTGTTTTCCTCAGACGAAAAACTGAGCTGGACAGGCCCAAATGCACTATTGTTAGCGAGGAGAGGGAATGGTCTGAGAACACTCATGTGTTAATCGTTTTTGTCCTAGAAGCTGATGTTCACCATCACCAAGCCCAGAATCCACGACAGGTGCTAGTTTACAAAGCAGCCTCCACAACATCTGAATAGACGTCTCCCTAAAGTGGGTATGTGAGTGGCTGGTAGGGAACCGTCACCAGGGAAATGCAAATCAAAACTACACTGAGATACCACTTCACAACCACTAGAAGGATGGCTATAACTAAAACAAAATAGGGGCCAACTGGTGGTGTGGTGGTGAAGGTGGCTTGATCCCACATGGCCATCTATGTAGTTCAAGTCCCAGACCCGGTGGCTTGAAAAACATGCCAGACATGTGCATGCCCCAAATCCTGAGAAGAGAATGGAGGAGAAGGGACTGTAGCGTGGCCATCCCCTGAGGGTGATTTCTCACTTTCCCTCTCTCTGTCTCTGTCCAGTGAGCACATGCACGTTATAGAAAATTAAAAAAAAAAAAAGGAAAAAATAAAAGAAGAGAGATCATACTGGCTGTTGACAAGGACGTACAGAAATGAAACCCTCATCAACCGCTGGTGGGAAGGCAAACTGGTACAGGCACTTTAGGAAACAGTTAGGCAGTTTCTTAGAAAGCTAGACATAAACTTACCACGTGACCCAGCAATTCAAATCCTAGGTATCTACTTAAAATCACTGAAAACATGTTCACGCAAAGACACACAACTGGATGTTTAGAGCAGCACCGCTCAGAGCAGACGGGAGTGGAACAACCCCAACGGCATCGCCCGGTGAGTGGACAAGCAATGCGACACGCCCAGCCAGTGGACTGCGGCTCTGCATGGGGAATTTAAATGCTGACTCGGGCTAGAACACGAATAAACCTCAGGAACATGACGCGAAGGGAAAGAAATCAGGTATGAAGCATGTTCCGTGTGATTTCATTTTTAGGAAATGTTCAGAAAATACAAAAATGTGTGTCAGTGATGGGCTGGGAGTAGGAGCAGGACTGACAGTACATGGGCACCAGGGAGCTCTGAGGTGACAGGGTGTTCTCAGGTCGGCTCACAGTGGTGATGACTAAGCTCAACAACCCACTAAGAATCAACAGAAGGACACAGTCAGATGGGTGGGTTTACTATACATGAATTATGCCACAAGACAGGCACCCTCAGTTCGATTTCATGAGTGAGCTACATTCACAGAGTAAATTCTCCCCTTCCCCATTTCATTTGAAATAATCAAATACTAAAATGTTAAAAACACTGTATTAGCACATGATCACAGGGAAGGGGACCGCTAGCCAGCAAAGAGCTCAGGGGACTGTCCAGTGCAGAAGACACGGAATCAAGAGGAGATGAACAGGCCCTGAGCAGAGGAAAGGCCTCCTGGAACTGAGCAGGTGGGATCTTCCAACAGAAACCCCCAGGGAAAACCCAAAGACACCCAAACGGGATCCGAAGAGTGAGACTGAAAGTCAGCCGAGTCCAGAGGCAGTAGGCTGGCTCAAACTGCTGGGGCTGCCTCACACCAGACAAAACCACTCCAACAGGCCAGGGTCCAGGACCAACCCAGCCAGGCCATCCAAAGCCAGAGTGAACCAGAGGGGTTGATGGAACGTGTTCAGCTCAGTCCAAACAGGACTGAGGTCACTCAACCCAGGTCTATCAGAGTCACTGTGAGAGACTGAGTAGGGAACAGCCAGTGTCCTCTTGACGTGGACCCTCCCTGCCTCCATTCAAGGCTCAGATGGGCTCTGCTCCCCCGGGGTACGCTCAAGGGGAGCCAGACAGGGAGCCCAGTGTGCTCAGCCCAGCCCCAGCCACAGGCCGTGCTCTCCCAACTGGACCTGCAGCCAGAAATTTTCAAGTCACACAGCCCTGCACAGGGGCCAGTGTCAGCCCCTCCAGTGACTCTGGCCTCCCGTGAAGGACGGTGTCACTCTGCCTGTAACTCCGACCCTGCCGGGGGCACACTCAGGCACTCTGTCACAGCCCTCGGTGGTCAAGACTCTGGATCCCTGAGAACGAACAAGACAGAGTAGGCCAGCCAGCGGCGAGGCGGTGAAGGCGGCTAGATCCCACGTGGCCCAAAGATGGCAAGACAGTGGGACGGCATGAGCAACAGCACCTAGAGAGGCAGGGCGCCTCCCTGCTGGTCAGTGGAGGCCTGAGGAGTTGGAACCCTGGGCCGTTAGCACCAGGCCTCGGCTCCCAACCATCCCGTCTCCCGTCACGGGTAAGGACTGGGTCAGCCAGGCACAGCAAGCCCTCCTCGAGGGCTTTTCTTTCTTTTTCTTTCTTCTTTTTTTTGGAGAGGTTTTTGCTATAGGGCACAGGTGCTTGCCAGAAAGACAGAGACAGAGAGAAAGAAAGTGAGAAATCACCCCTCAGGGGTGATGGCCACCCCACAATCCCTTCTTCTCCATTCTCCTCCCAAAATCCTGGGCATGCACGCACACGCACCTGGCGTAAATTCAAACCATCGGGTTCAGGACTTGAACCACGGTCAACCACATGGAAGTCCAGCAACACAGCCATTACGCCAACTGCTGGTCCCCCTCCTAGAGGTCTTCAGTGACTAGCACCCTACTCGTTCCTACTCATCTATGCCTAGTCTTTGTTCCTGAACAATTGACTTCAGCTGTCCATGACAGCAGCAGCAGCATGCTCCGTGAGCCTTTGGGCTTCCCTCCACTGCAGGAGAGGGACGCCCAGCAGAGGGCTCCTCCCTGAGGTGCGTGGGCCCCGTCCAGGGCTTGGCCTGCCGTCCCCGACCACAGCCCCAGCCACCACCCCACCCCCAGAGACAAGCACAGCAGCCGCAGTGTGCTGCCCATTATGTCTGCTACGGACAGCCCGGGCTGGAAGGAAAGATGGAGCGCTTGTTTCCGATCTGACTCCGGCATGTCTCGCCACCGATGAGAGCAGCCTGATTTATAGCAGTGCCTCTCAGACCAGTGAGATTTCACATGCTAAGAAAGCAGGATCGTGTGGAAGGGACAGCCTTTCCAGGACCCACGACCCAGAGAAACCCCGCCCATCCCGCTTGGGTCCCTGAGGCCTACCTGAGCCCTGACTGTACCTGGGAGAAGACTCCCATCTAGGGGGTCAGGCCAGCCTCCCTACCCGACGGGAAGGCCC